TTTGCCTCACTTACTTTGGTCATATTGTCAGAAGGGGCCATTCCCTGGAGAAGGATTATCATGCTTGGTAAAGTTGAAGGTCACTGAAAAAGGGGAAGGCCCTCAATGAGATGGACTGACACAGTGGCTGCAATGATGGGCTCAGGTGTAGCAAACATTGTGAGGCTAGCGCAGAACCAGGCAGTGTTTCATTCTGTTGTATACAGGGTCACCATGAGTCAGGACCAACTCGACGGCACCTAACAACATACAATAAGCAACAACATCCAGGCACAGTCATTTTATAGTCTATATTTAAGAACAAGACACACATGGTAGAAGAGGTGGCAATACTATGGGGAAGACCATGACACAGAAATGATTCCAAATCTTATTATTGGAAAGATGTCTAAGAGATCTGATACTTGCTTTGGTGTCTCGCCTAATTATTTCATTGGCAAAATAAGCACAAACTCTAAACAGTATATAGGAAAATGGGTAAAAAGGATGGTTGGAACAACAGTTTTACTTTTTCCAGATAAGTATCTTTTAGCATTTATAGTGAATGGCTTATGGAGAATAGTATCCAAAGGAAAGTAATGCAGCTCTGAGGTATTTATCTGAATGTGTGATTTCTGAAAATAGCTTTGGAGCTATAAATATTCATTTGACTCTTCAGTCAGTTGATAAATCTTATATTGAATTCAATGAGAAACTTGGAAGAATTACAAACTCCATAAATGGAATTTATGACTTTCTATTTTTTCTCGAGAAAAGAGATTCTGAATGTTTCTATAGTTTAATAAAAACCTAGAGTATAATAAAATACCGTGGAATCCCTGAACTGTGATTTTACATATCCAAAGTGATTTTATTTTAAGGCGCTGTGCCTACGCATGAAATATACTTTAAAATACTAGAGAGTTTCCTTCCATTCTTCTATTTCTCCTGAACAACGGCTGCCATTACACAGGAAATCTCACGTCTGTACAGAAGTATTTGGGCCAGGATGATAAAGTAATTTTTGCTCTCAGAAAAATCACCAAGCAATTCTGGATAACCTTTCAGGAAAATACTATCAACAATAAAGGGTAATTTGGAAGAAAACCAATTCATACAAAAAGAAAGAAGTTGTCTTTCTATTACTAAACCACCTATCCCAGGGCTACTCAAAGTGTGGTTTGTTTGTTCAGTGCCAGTCAGTAATAGGTACTACAGACGCTGAGAGTAAGCATTTAGAAAATTCCATAACAATTCGACTAAGTAATTTTATGTTTATCTTGATTTTATCTGTAATTTAATTTTTATTGTATTTCATAGAAATATTGGATTGAGATAGACTAGAAAAAAACTCACTGGTCCTTTTCTACAGAGAGTTGGAGAAACACTCATCCATATTACTGCTAGTGCCACTACTTCTAGCAGCTTCTACCACTTGTTGTTGTTGTTATGTGCTGTCGAGTCAGCCCTGACTCATAGTGACTCCCCCTTGGGTTTCCAAGGCAGTATCACTACAGAAGTTGATTGCCCAACCTTCCTTCTGAGGAGTGGCTGGTGGGTTTGAACTGCCAGCCTTCTGGTTAGCAGTCAACTGCCTTAGGCACTTTCTACCGCATAGTAGTCTTATTTAAATAGTCTTATTTAAATAGCTTGCTCTTTGAAGAGAAGAATGGCAATATAGGTGCATGATATGTATTACTCTCAGAACAACCCTGAAAATTTATTTCCTGTGGCACTGAGGTCTGCTTTTCTTTGTGGGTCTCAGAACAGATGTTCAGGCTAAAGAAATGTGATCAAAATCACACTTAAGTCATAAAAATCATTAAGAAAATTTTACTAAGCATTTACTATATGTCTAATAAACATTATCTTAGGCTCCTGAGATTTAACATTGCACATGACAAAATCTCTAACTGTCCAAATCTTATGACCTTACCTTCTAGTAGGGAAAGATGGGCAATAAATAAGTAAACAAATAAAAATATAATTTCAGATAATAAGTGAAGTGCTATGAAGAAAATAAAGCAGGGTAAAAGATTCGAGCAGGGAAAGGTTATTTTAGATATTATGGTTAGGGAAGGCATAGCAGATAAGAACACAGGTTCTGGAGCCAGGCTGTCTGATTAAACTCCTAGTTCTGCCACTTACCAGCTTTATGATCATATGCAAGTTATTAAACCATTCAGTGCCTGTTTCCTCATTTACAAAATATGTAGGTAACAGTGCCCCCCACCTCATAGCGTTGACTATGAAATGAGATAATACATGTAACATATTTAGGATAGTGCCTGCCACATAATAAATACTTACTAAACAATATTCATTATTTCCTTAGGTTGTGCCATTTAAGCAGAAGGAGCTAGCCTTGCAAAGATGTGGGAAAATTTCAAATGGTTAATGTACTCGCTACTAAACAAAAGACTGCAGGTTCAAATCCAGCCAGAGGTGCCTTAGAAGAAAGGCTTAGCAATCTACTTCCAAAAACACCAGACACTGAAAACCCCATGGAGCACAGTTCTACCCTGACACACGTGGGTCATCAGGAGTAGGAGTCCAGTTGGTGGTGACTATTTTATCATTAGATAAGCACCTTAGCGTGTTTATGCAGATTACGTAGAATAACACCTTTAAACTTCACAATGATCAGGATATAAGCATTATAACTCTCATTCTAGAGATCAAAAAACCTGAGGTTTAGAAAGCTGAAGTAGCTTGTTAAGGCCATACAGCTAGCTAACAGGTTTTGGTGTTAGGGCTTTGAAATCATGCCTGTCTGCCAAAAGCCTTACTTTTTTTTAATGGGTTTACATTACCTCTGCTAGGTAACACACAGCAGGTCTCAGAACTAAAATCTAATTTTACTTCCTTCATTCATTCCTTCATTAAAAAAAAATTTACTGAACACCTGTCAATCAATGAATACTTTTTACATTTCTACTAATGTATAAGACACTCTTGAGATATAAGGACAAACTTTCTCTTCAAAGAGCAAGCTATTTAAATAAGACTATTTAAATTGGGAGATGATTATCTTACATGTGATTAATGCCAAATGGATTGCAGAGACAAGAGGTATGACAGGAGTATTTCAGTTTCTTTAGTGCGGCTATAACAGAAATACTGTAAATGGGTGGCTTTGACAAAATAAATTTATTTTCTCACAGTTTAGGAAGCTAGAAGTCCAAATTCAGGGTGCTGGCTTTATGGAAAGGCTCCTTCCACTCTGGGGAAAAATCTTTGTCTCAACTTTTCTAGCGTTCTTCTTGGACATTGCCACATGGCTCTATCTTTCCGCCATTCGTGCTTGTCTCTATGCCTAATCTGTTCCTTTTCTATCTCAAAAGTGGTTGGGTTTAAGACTACATTGATAAGGCCTCATCAACATAACATCATAACATACATCATGACAGAACAACATAGCATTAACATAACATTACATCCATAGGTACATGAGACAGGATTTACAATATATATTTTTGGGAGACACAATTCAATCAATTACAGGGAGTTATGGTAAGGAAGCTCATATGCACCAAGGCCAATGAAGAAACTTGCCTAACTTAAGGGCAGGTTTGAAGAGAATACTGGGAGGTAAATTTAAAAGGCAGATTGAAAGGTCCCTGGGTGGCACAGTTTCCAATTAGCTGGTAACCAAAAAGGCTGAAGGCTCGAATCCACCCAGTGGCACTGTAAAATACAGAGGCCTGGAGACTGCTTCTGTGCGGATCACAGCCAAGAAAACCCTACAGAGCAGTTCCACTCTGTAACGCATGGGGTCTCTGCAAAGTCACAAACCAACAACAAAAATAAAATATGTAACAACAAAAACAAAATAGGTCCAATAAAAGGCAGGCTGAGAGCAAAATTATAAAATACTTTGCCTGCACAGTGAGGCATGATAATGATAATATCACCAGAGGCTTCTACAGAGGATTTTAGAGAGAAGAACCACCAGAGGGTGAGGCAAACTGGAGAAGGGTAAGAGCATGAGCTGTGACAGCCTGCCAGGGCCGGGCCTGGGACTGGAAAGGGCCTCAGAGAGAGCAGCCAGGTTAACTCCCGTCCATGGGGAGAAACCCCAACAGTGTCTTGGATAGAATGGAGATTTGTGTAATCCCTTAGACACACATGTAGGAGGGTGGTGCAACAGGAACAGAAAAGAAAGGAAGAGTCAAGAGGAAGTATACATATAAGACCTGGAAACTGACTGGATTAGAGTGTCACAGGAGAAAACGGGACATGAATACACATCACAGTACCAGGAATTTTAACATGGAAGACTGACCCTTCATCATGCTGTTTGTTTTTGGTTTCTCCTCATAAGTTTGGCAAAATCCGGAAAAATGGGATGAGCATTATATAATGGTTACCTTGTGATTCATAAACAAAGAACATGGACTGATGCTATTCAAAACAGTTCTTAATTAGAAATCCTTAATGATCAAAAGGCAGCTTGAAAGCAAGTCAAGACACTTAATGCATTTGTAAGACTCCAGGGCTGCCAGTATGTGTTTTATGCCCTATTTACTGGCCATTTCTAGACACTCCCTTTGCCTCATTTATAATGCAGCTGCCCTGAACAAAGCCTGTCCCCGAGGAAAGGCACACCACGGCATGGGCCTGAAAGAAAAGGCTTGATACCAAAAGCGACTTCCTTTGCAACCTCTAGGGGATTTTCTCTCACTCAAGCAGAGACTTAAAAGATATCATTTCATGAAAATAAAATCTGAAAAGTATTGCCAATCTCTTTCAATTTTTCAATCCTGGGTGCTTGCTTCCAAACTATAGCACATACATAACTGGTCATCATTCACGAGCTGGATTCTTTTTCTTGAGTTGCTGACAACTTTGTAAAAACTGTCTTTAAATTCACTAAACAGAGAAGGCAAAGAATGAGATTCCAGTGTCTATTAATAGTTACACCACTGCATGACTCTGGCCATCTTGAGGGAGCCACTGCCTTCCGCAGGCTCTGTGTCTCTGGGATCAGCCTGGTGAAGGCAGGCCTGCTGGTTCCTTACCTTCTTCAGGAATGACCGTCAGTGTGACGGTGACACCGGCCTCTTTGATCAGCTGAACAATATTATCATGGGACAGTTCAATAATTGACTGCCCATTCACCGCAGAGATATGATCTCCAACCTTCAGTTTTCCACAGCGATCAGCAGGACTTCCTTCTATGACTCGGCCAATTTTATGAGGAATAACTATGGGAAAAATCATTTTTCAAAAACAGGTTTTTTCATTATTTAAGTTATCTGCCAGTGTTAGTGTTATCATTAGCATTTAAAAATCTGACACATAACATCAAAGAAACTTTGTTAAAAATATACCACAGAAGTTCTACAGATGATCATCCTGTCAGGACGTAACTATTTTCATATTACCTGCCACGTTCTGCCCACGCACAAACATGCTCTTTACATGGTTGGAATCACAGCACATAAATCTCTTCGCTGTTCTTCACTTACCAAAAACCTTTCTCCAGTATTTATGTGGTCATGTTCACTATCTTGTTTAAGGTCTACTGGTCACACAGATAGTGAAAGTACCTCACTGATCCGATGTGTCATGGTTTGTTGTTGGCCACTAAGGCTGCATCAAGTTTTCAGCTATATCAGAAACTGCTACCATGAGATCATCTTTGGTTCTGCTGAAGAGTTTCCTTAGTATAAATGTCTGTTTGACATTTGAATGGGATACTTAGTCCCACAAAGAATTTTGTAAATAAATGCAGTTGAAACTCAAGTTTTGACTTAATAGTTATCAGTCAGAAGGAGCTCTGGTGGCACAGTGGTAAAAGCACTCAGTTGCGAACCAAAAGGCTGGCTGTTCAAAACCACCAGCCGCTCTGTGGAAGAAAGATGAGGCAGTCTGCTTCTTTAAGGATTTATAGCATTGGAAATCCCATGGGGGCAGTTCCACTCTATCTTATAGGTTGCTGTAAGTTGGAATTGATTCCATGACAGTGGGTTTTTTAGTTTTTGGGTCAGAATTCCAGGCATCAGTGAAATGACTGACAACTAAAACACATCATCATACTTTGTCCTGTGTGGAAATAATTCCTTTCATTTATGGTTTTTGATCTTTCTGAAATCAGAAAAGCTGAGTGGAATTAGAATATTGAATGTTTCATGTGAGGACCCTTTGGTGCCTGAGTAAAATCCTACTTGAATGCACAAAGTAGAGTCTACCACATTTGCAAAGATATTCTGTGCAGTACTACTATATCTTGAGCTCATAATGCTAAAGGCTTTCCTAGACAAAATATTAAGACACTCTGCTTTTATTATAATTTAAAATGAGTTCTTTACTGACCCTATACTCTGAGATCACCTTTCGGTGAAATGGCAGAGTAGCACACAAAATAAAGGAGATTTCCTATAAGATCAGTGCCCTACTTAAAAACCATCAGTGTAAGACCAAGAGGTCAACAATGACTCCAAAGCAAAGATGAGAAGATAAGGAGGCAGGGAAACTAGAGCACTGGAAAGGGAACAAACTGAACACAACTAAAGATGACACATTGTGATAAATGTAACAAATGATGATACACTGTGATAAATGCAACAAATGTCACCCAACAATCTGTGTGGAAACTGTCAGATGGGAATCTAACTTGCTGTGTAAACTTTCACCAAAAACTCAATAAAATATTATTTTAAAAATGAGTTCTTAGACATTCAGGAAATCTTGATGAAATATCTTCCACTGAGCAATAAGGGGCATCTGCAATAATAAACAAATGCCCCCTTTGTGTTTACTGAGAGTTTCCTAGCCTGGGTCAGAAAACTTAGCAGGCTTTTGGGCTCCTGCTGACTACTAATTGTTATGAATAGGGCTAATTAATATTTTAAATGGCACTGTGAATGGTATTTCATTTCCACAGTAAAATGAGATCCTTACTAGTGTTTCTGAATCCTATCTAGGTGTGTGTGTTACGGATGTTTTAAAAGGCCTTCATTTGGACTAGAAAAGTTATTCTTGGCCATGATTTATGTTCCTATAGTCAGTGCTATTTCTTGGCTCTTCTAGCATTATACAGTGAGAGATTTTATCTTAAAATAGAAGAAGTCAATGTTGGAAGCAAATGCTTTTCAGCTCTGAATTATATGAAGCACTTATTATACCACTTTCCTTACAAACAAAGTAACTAGAAAACTGCCAATGCAGTGCGGGCTGTGTACTGTGCCAGGAACGCTGAGTAGACTCACTGATGGTGCAACAGGTGGCACATTAGAAACATATGGTAAATCACATGGTGGCCCTGCGGTGACCTTCTAAATCAGTACCTTAGTTATTTTCCTTCTTAGAAGAGATTTACTTGTATATAGTGTTCATTCTAGATCGCCTGAGAAGAAAATCATTCAATGCCTTGGCACACTGAAAAGAGGTTTGTTCAGACATGAGAAAGCATCAAACAGAATTAATCTCTGAGGTCTCAGTGGTCTCTTTTCTCATCATGTGAGCAATGTGGTAGTAGGGAATTAATTGGCAGATCTTGGTACAGAACTTCCTGAAGGGTTGGTTGTCTGGGTGAGTGAAGGTAAAAGCAGTCAGATGGTTACTGTCCTCATTGGCATTTATAGCAGTGGCATCAAAACAGTTAAAAATAGTAAATGGACCAGCAGAAAACTAACTTCTGAACCTTCTCTGGATGCACTGGGAAGTTTTCAAGGTAACTCCTTGTACAATACATACCTAAGAAAAGTTGCTTTGTGGGTGTACAAAACCTACAAGTATTTGTTATCAGGATCACTTAACCATCTTCATTCATTTTGACCTAAATCTGTCTCACAGCCAGGCTTGTCCAGCTGCTGATACCACTTTAGTGCTCTTTAAACATTTCTTTTCAAGGAAACAAGGGACACTAACTGGAAATGTCCCCTTCTCAAAGAAATCATTTGCAACCAGAACTGAAAAGTAAATGAAAGAGTAACACTAAAAGCTCTGAAGTACAGGCAAACCCAAAAATTGCCAAGTCCTTCTCATTTTAAATAGAAGAGGCCCCTTCTAAGTACTGCACTCATTCAGAATTATACAAAAACTGGGTCCAGGGCAGCGAGGAAGGTAGGCCTGTAGCCCCGATGTTGAAAAAGTCAACAGTACAGAATCTCCAAATTTTACAACTGGTATCAGAGATGCTACCAGAAACTTCCCTTGTGACAGATATTACCAGAAAATACCATTTAATCAGAAAAAGGAAAAAAAAATTTTGCTCAGTAACAATCAGAGAGACAAGGTCCATATAGAAGGATGCATTCTGACTGGCAGGCTTCTTGCCTTTTCCATTGTGCTAACTCTTCTGAACCAAACCTTCCCTGTGATGCAGTTGGCAGCATTACTGCTTAGTCTCTGTTCATCCAGTCTCACCCCAGGATGTGTCTTCTATCTATAAGCGATAGATGGAGTTCTAGGAAGAATGCTTCAGGGCTCAGCATTTAGTGAGAATTTAAGTAGCTTTTCAGTGAAATTATCAATTCTGGTTTTGCACTGTGACTGAAAACCTCAAGTACCTTATATAAAATTCATCAACAACCTGAGCCTAATTTACCATTTAGACTGATAATTAATGAGCTGCAACATTCATTTCCTGCTACACATTAGCTGTTACCTCAATCTTACATTTTAATCGGGCTTTCTTTCCCATCTCATTACTCAAGCATTTATAAACTTTTAAAACTTTCTTTTTTTAAAAAAAAATGCTAAGAGACAGTGGCAAACAATTTTCTAAATAACGAGGATGATAACAGTAGCAGCACCAACTACAAAAGGAGCTAACTTTTATTGAAGGTCTGGGTTAAGGGCTTCGCAAGCATTATCTCCTTTAATCTTGACACTCATATGACACAGAGGGTATTACCGTCACCCCCTTTTTACAGAGGAAACTGGAGCTCTGACAGAGCGAATAATTTGCTCAAGACAAGACAACTATTAAAAGACATACCTGGGGCTTCAATCTGACACTTACGGTAGCATCTTGTATAGAAATCTAGCACCTATAGTAGGTAAAATCATCAAACTAGTAAAACATTATTTAAACAAATACATATAAAGGCTAATTAAGTATATTTGAATAATTCACCTCATTTTCATCCATGTCTCCATATTGCTTTGTGTTATGGTTAACACCAGACTCTCCCTTAATTTTTGTAGTGTGACTATCTGGATATAAAAGGTGGTTAAGGATCTATCACACTGAGTAATAAGCTTTCACTTTTTTATTCTTTGGAATCCTGGAATTATGGCAAGGCATGAGAATGACAACATGTTTGTTTTCAGAAATTCTGATTTCTCAATGACACAACATGAAATCAACCTAAACGCTTTCTTTCATTTTTTCTGACATAGGCCACATAATCATCTGCACAGCATCAGTGACAGCTCCAGTTCCAAGTGTTACCATAGCAACTGCTTTGAAAAATGGAAACTAGTATCAGTGAGCAGTGACCTGATATGATACTAATAATTCATCCATGCCATAGAATCTTCTTCCTTTACACACATGAATTAATTTTAAAAGATTTTTGAAAATTGGTTTAGCTGACAATACTTTCTTGAAAGTGACTTCTTTTTTACTAAGATTTTAGTGACATCTAATCTAAGAGGACCTCAATACCCAAGAGATAATCAAGTCCACTGGCAAAGGCAACAGCATATTTGTATGTTGTCAAAGATTTTGATCATTTGACTTGGGGGAGGGAAGTTACCACATAAGCATAAAATAAAAATATAAAATACTAATTTGATAGTTCTCATTTTACATTCATTTGGATTTTATAATTATATTTAAAGATTGTAATTTGTAAAGACTGGATTACACCTCAACATAAAGAAAATAAAAACTCTCACAATTGGATCAGTATGCAACATCACTATAAATGGAGAAAAGACTGAAGTTGTCAAGGATTTCATTTTACTTGGATCCACAATCAGCACTCATGGAAGCAGCAGTCAAGAAATCAAACAACATGTTGTACTGGGCAAATCTGCTGCAAAAGACGTCTTTAATGTGTTAAAAAGCAAAGAAGTCACTTTAAGGACTAAGATGCGTCTGACTCAAGCCATGGTATTTTCAATCACCTCATATGTACACAAATGCTGGTCAATGAATTAGGAAGGCCAAAGAAGAATTGATGGTTCTAAATTAGGATGCTAGCAAAGAGTGTTGAATATACCACGTATTGCCAGAAAAGCAAATAAATTTGTCTTAGAAGAAGCACAGCCAAAATGCTCCTTAGAAGTGAGGATGGTGAGATTTTGTCTTATAAATTTTGGTCAGGTTGGCAGGAGGGACCAGTCCCTAGAAAAGGACATCATGCTTGGTAAAGTAGAGGGTCAGCAAAAAAGAGGAAGACTCTCAATGAGATGGACTGATACAGTGATTATAGCAATGTACTCAAAACATAGCAACAATTGTAAGGATGGTGCAGGACTGGGTAGTGTTTCATTCTGCTGTAGACAGGGTTGCTATGAGTCGGAACTGTCTTGACGGCACCCAACAACAACATTTCTTACAAATAGCAAGACAAGACAAACATTCAACTCGCTGAATCATAACAGCCCTGAATATGCTAGAGGCAATTCCTCCTTTGTTGAGGGAATTCATATATAAACATTTCATCCTTCCCAGATGAGAAATACTCTGCTAAACTTATATTCAGGATATTTAGATTGATTTTCAAAGGTTTGATAAAATTTCTTACCTTTGAATGAAGCATATATGAAAGATTATTATTTAACAAGAGTACTTAGTAGCTTGCATATAGCAATTACTATTAAATAACATGAAAGAATAATTTAAGACATATTTGGGTCAAGAGTTGTCTATTAACCTGGTTTACTTCTTCTCCATTGCTTCTAGTATTTAATTCATTTCTGCATACATTATGTCTCCATTTATAAAACCTATGCCCCTATTTAAAAAAAAAAAATTAGCACTGCACCTTTCACTACTCTATTAAGTCACATTCCTGATACACAAGGTACTACCACACTATAATCTTGACTCAAACTGAGCTAATGAGACTTCTTTTATGAAATCTGAGATGCTAGATGATTTTTAAGCCTAGAAAAGTTTAATTCAAATTACCTAATTGAAGGCATACAACAACAACAACAACAACAATTTTCAATATAAAGTAAATATTCACTGTTCTTGAAAAGGTAAGTCTGTAGGGCAATTTATATATAACTCCTAATTTGTTTTATAAGAAGGAGGCTCAGTAAACTGGAATTGCAGGAAGGACAGTGGTCCTTACCTCCTGGAGGTGGCTTGTTTTTGGAGGTAAGGATGACAAAGCCAAATCCTTCATTTTCTTTTCTTTGCAATACAACATCATAAACCTCCTGGGGAGCAGGCCTGGCTGGGCCTTCTGCTCGGTGCAGGCGGGGAGATCCATTCTGTGTCGAAATGAAGGCTTGCGAGTTGTCATCTTCAGGTTGTTTCTCTAAAACAAATATGAGTAGATTTGATATTTCTGGTATATCATAATTTTTGGTAACTAAAGTGTTTTTGTGCTAAGCTTTCTATAAGAAAATTTTCCTTGAAATTATTTTAGGTCCACCAAGATTTTTAACTTCAACCAGTAATTTTAACAACAGTAGATAATAAGAACTGACACAGTAAACTTCCTTTGAAAACCAACTTTAAATATAAATTAGTGTACTGCTGATGTTCCTTGACATCTGGGAGGTCACTGCATCGGGACAGAGATGCTGCCCCTGTTACAGGTTGGGAGCAGTATGCCATCTGCATAGGATTTGTTAGAAACAATGTGTTTCACAGCATTTCCTGACTGATAATACAGATAAGCTGATCATTAGCAGCTTTCAACCCCCACCCCCCTGGCTAGGATACCAATAAACTGTCCATATGAAAAGCAAATTCTCCTGGGTACAGATAGGGCCAAGTGGAATCCCCAGCAAGTGAGCAGTTAGCCAACACCTTTTTCTCCTGTTCAGGAATGACATCAGGATTTGAAAAAAACTGTTGCTGTTGTTGTTTTATGTGTCATCGAGTCGGCCCCGACTCATAGCGACCCCTCCTTGGGTTTCTGAGGCAGTATCACTACGGAAGTAGGATTGCCCAACCTTCCTTCCGGGGAGTGGCTGGTGGGTTTGAACCGCCAGCCTTCTGGTTAGCAG